TTTGTATCTTTTCTGAAAATTGTGGGATAAATTTGGAATAATGTGCAAACATTCCGACAGCTCTCTTTAGTGATTGTGAATCGTTTGGTAAGGGTAACTTCTTTAATGGTTCAAGTCTTTCAGGATCAGGTTTTAAGGTCTGATTTTCTATTTGATAACCCAAAAGTTTGATTGAATTTAGTGTATAAGAACTTTTATTTTGATTTATTGTTAGATTGTATTTCTTCGCTACTTCCATAAATTTATTAAGATTTTCATTATGTTGTTGTTGATTTAATCCACAAACCGTAATGTCATCAAGATATGCATACACACCTTTTAAATGTTCGGATTTAATAATACCATCGATAACCCTTTGAAAACAAGCCACTCCGTTGGTTACCCCAAAAGGAATCCGGCAAAATTGGTATAGTTGGCCGTTGGCTTCAAAAGCAGTGTATATTTTCTCTTCATTTTTAATTGGAATTTGATGGTATGCATTTTTAAGATCAATAGTACTGAAGACAGAATATCTTGCTACTTTTCTAACAATATCTTCAACATCTGGGAGAGGATAGGCATCTAAGTAAGTAAATTTATTAATTGTTTGTGAATAATCTACCACCATTCGCTTTTTGTGTGTTTCACTTTTTGTAATAAGTACTTGTGCACGCCAAGGAGAGTTGCTTTCTTCTATGATTCCATTCGATAGCAGATACTGTATCTCGTCAGATATGAATTTTCTATCTTCAGTTGAAAATTTTCTTGATTTAGTTGCCCTCGGTTTGCAATCATTTGATAGATTGGAGAATAATTTGGGTGGCTCTATATTTAAGTATGCCAAACTACAAATGTTATCTATATGATCAATAACTAAAGGCATTTTTGAGCCAGCAAAAGTGATTTCTAGAGAAGAATGTTGTTTAAGCAAGTCATGACCTATAACTACATCAGCACATAAATCTTGAATTATTGATAATTTGACATTTTTATATGAATGTTCGTTTATTTCTAAATTAACAAAGCAGTGTCCTGAGATAGTCGTTCTGAGTGCTGTTGAAGCCATTATTATGCTTGCATGACTTCTAAATGTTTTCACGTTTATAGACAATGCATAATTCTTACTGATATATGACTCAGAACTACCTGTGTCTATTAAACTTTCAGCTGTATTTCCATTCACCTTTATCTCAGTAACACTTTTAGATAAGCATTGAGGGGCAGCAGCAAGATTTCTAACATTCGAACTAGATGTAGTAGTAGCTAAAACAGCAGCTGATACTGAATTGGGCATCTGAAGCCTACATACCTTGGAAAAATGTCCAACTTTCGAGCATTTCTTACAAACTTTGTCTCTAGCAGGGCATAGGCTACGAGGATGCCTTTCAGTTGATCCACAAAAGTAACATTTCCAACTTTTCACAGCAGCAGAAGTATAATTAGTGTGCTCTCTGGTTTCAGAAGAAATTGCATTAATAATTTGTACAGGAGTTGTATAAGCCTCAGAGTGTTTTGAAGCTGACTCCAGAGACTGGGCTTTTACTATGGCATCTTGCAGAGTAATAGTGTTGTTTTCTAGTAAACGTTGTCTTATGTCATTAGAAAGAATGCCATTAATAAAAGAGTCTCTTATATAATCTTCTCTATTTTGGTCTGCAGAAACGGCTAGAAAATTACAGTCTTTGGAAAGCACTTTAAGATGTTGAACGTATTGACCTATATTTTCACCAGTTTGTTGTTTTTTTGTCATTAGGATATGTCTGGCAAAAATTTCATTTTTGGGTTTAACAAAAGCTGCTTCAAGAATACTTTTGGCTTCAGAATACTTTCTACAATCAGAGATGAGTTCATAGATATTGTTGCTCACGTAATTTACCAGTAGTTTGAATTTCTCCTCCTCTGAAACATCAATCACAGAGGAAATAAAGTTTTCAAAGGTAGCTTTCCAATGCATCCATTCTTGAGACGATCTAGGAGAGTTAGGATCAGCATCGAATCTGTCTGGTCGTAGTAGCTTATCCATATTTGATATTTCTTGTATATTAAATTGTAATGAAATGCAAAACCTTTATAAACTAGGTTTTAATATACAAGAAATTAGCATTGTTTTGTTTGAATGAATAACATGACAATTACATATGACATTGGTCGCGTTCACCAGATACAAACGTTGGCAATCAGTTTCCGCTTTATTCTGCTGAACGGCTTGTTGAGTGTTGCTAACGTCAAACGTGTTTGGAAAGCGATCGCCATTTTTACAAGCATAAAATATTTACGTTGAACTTTTTAAACTTGTTTACTGTTAGCAAAAATATGGCGGGAATGGAAATTATTCAAATTGTAGAATATATTTATAATGGTTTTGTTTACAAAATAACGGCTACCGAAGACATTCATAAAAGAATGGATGGTGAGTTCAATTAATTAACAGCTATATAATAATAATTCTAATATGGTGTGTTATATTATAACCTTAAAAATATTTTTATTGTAGATACGGAGTTCTTTCTAAATTACATTCAACAATGTGCTAATGTAATAGAAATTAAGCCGCTTGAAGAAAAACAAAATGAACCGGTTACTGAAACAATCAAGGCGTTTTCTTGGACTTCAGAAAACACTAAATTGTTGATTACGGAATACGGTAAACATATTTCTGAATTTCGAGATCCAAAAATGAAAAAAAAAATTACATGGGGCAAAATAAAAGAAGTTTTCCATAAGATGAACTACAGGGTAAGTGAGGACGACCTTGACAGAAAAATGCGAAATTTGAAACACCACTATAAAACAATTAAAGATAACAATAAAAAGTCCAACACTGGTAGAGGTCGCATCATCTGGGAATATTTTAATATGTTTGAAGAAATATTTGCAGAGGATAAAACCATAAATCACGGGAAAATCTACTCATCACTTAATTGTTTAGATTTTCCTAGTACTTCAAGCACTTCTTGTAGTTCAGATATACAACATATAGAGCCATTAACAATTGCTCTCCACAAACCATTAGATAGTCCTGGCTCTGCAACTGAAACACATGTAAAAAAAAAGGTAAAAGTTGAACCCCATTTTGATTGCCCTAGCACAAGTACAACACCTGTATCAAACACTCCCAAACAAACAATTAAATTGAGAAAGCTCCAGGAAGGAAGAGGCCTCTATAAATTTAGAAAAGAATATTTAGCATTAGAAAGCAGAAGAGTTGTTGCATTAGAAAAATTAGTGGAAGAACTTGCAGAGAACAACAGAATCCAAAGGGAGAGAAATGAAATATTAAAACAAAAAGGAAGTGTAGAATAATATTTTAATCTTTTAAATATAAACATACTTAAAATAAATTTTATAAAAGCACTTGTGTTTTATTATCTGTTGCACAGGTTCACCAGTTCTCTACATTTCATTTCCGCTCCTTGAACTATTAACTCATTGTCTTAACTAAATTATTTTCTTCTTGATCTTCAATTTCTCCTAAAAGGGAATGATCTTGGGGGTTCTCTTGCAACACAATAAAATTGTGTAGTACACATGCAGCCAATATTATTTTACTGGCCATTTCAGGAGTGGCAACATCTAAATATTTTAACCTTCGAAACTTTCCTTTTAGAAGTCCAAATGTTCTTTCAATAATGGACCTTACACTAGACAATCTTGTATTGTAATGAATTTGTTCTCTACTAAGGTGGTCATTATCTTGATATGGTTTCATGAACTGATGTAAAAGTGGATAGGCAGAATCCCCAATTAAATGGTAATTATTAGGTACCAATTCTTGTAACCTATTAAACAATGGACTTCGTAAATATATGGCCATCACTGATTCTTCCTAGCATGCCTATGCAAATATCTATAAAAACTCCTTTGTTACTTGTAATTCCATAAATAATTAATAAATTTCTGAATTTCAATATATATACTGTTTTGAAAATTTGAATTTTGACAACTGCAAGTTTTTTGCAGTATACCATGCAAGAATAGAATTTGCTAACAAGTGGATAATAAAAGTTTATTAGATGATGCATTTCACTATATATACCTAAAATATTTACCTTATAAGATGAATGAATGTGTACATTTTCAATTGTAATAGTTAAAGGCATTTGGTACTCCCAAACAAGCAATTAAATTGAGAAAACTTCAGGAAGGGAGATGCCTCTATAGATTTAGAAAAGAATATTTAGCATTAGAAAGCAGAAGAGTTGTTGCATTAGAAAAATTAGTGGAAGAACTTGCAGAGAACAACAGAATCCAAAAGGAGAGGAATGAAATATTAAAACAAAAAGGAAGTATAGAATGATATTTTAATCTTTTAAATATAAACATAGTTATAATAAATTTTATAAAAGCACTTGTGTTTTATTATCTGTTGCACAGGTTCACCAGTTCTCTACGTTTTATTTCTGCCCCTTGAAGTATTGGCTCATTGTGTTCAACTACATTGTTTTCTTCTTGTTCTTCTTCAACTTCTTCTAAAAGGTAATTATCTTGGGGGTTCTCTTGCAGCACAATAAAATTGTGTAGTACACATGCAGCCAATATTATTTCACTGGCCATTTCAGGAGTGGCAACATCTAAATATTTTAACCTTCGAAACTTTCCTTTTAGAAGTCCAAATGTTCTTTCAATAATGGACCTTACACTAGACAATCTTGTATTGTAATGAATTTGTTCTCTACTAAGGTGGCCATTATCTTGATATGGTTTCATCAACTGATGTAAAAGTGGATAGGCAGAATCCCCAATTAAATGGTAATTGTTAGGTACCAATTCTTGTAATCTATTGAATAATGGACTTAACCTAAATACACGGGCATCATGCATTCTTCCTGGCATGCCTATGCAAATATCTATAAAAACTCCTTTATCGTTACATGTACCTAAAACATGTAATTCCATAAATAAATAATGAGTATCAGAAAGTATGTACCATTCTTGAGAAACTTTAATTATCCATTTGTTCCCCACTATATACTATTTGGAAAATTTGAATTTTGACTACTTAATATTTTTGCTAACAAATGGACAATAAATGTTTATTATATGGTGCAGTTCACTATATATACCTAGAATATTTACCTTGCAAGATGACTGAATGCATACCTTTTCTATTGTAATAGTCAAAGGCATTTCCTTCTGGCTGTTTTATTTGTATGTGACATCCATCAATTGCTCCTACTATACCTGGAATGCCATGAGAGCGACGCTGAAACACCTGTATAAAAAAAATAGGATGAAAATTTTTTAACAAACTTTATAAATCACTTCATACATTAGCTATGTGCATTTGTGCTTCTAAATTTGGCCAATTAATATATGTCTGGCACATTTGACCAAGCACTCTAATCATTTCAATAAAAATGCCATGTCCTGAGCTTTTTGCAAAACCAAATCGATCACCTGCTTCCAGAAAACTGTTTTGTTTACTAATAGTCCATAAGGTAAACAATAATTTTTTTCTAAGAGGTATTCGAGTAACTTCAACAAACTGTTGTACTCTTTGTAACAAAACCTAAAACCGGAACATATTATAAAATAGTATTAGGTACCTTTAAATTCTATAATACCTCAAACGTTTCTCTTGACATGCGGAAATGCTCTTGAAACTGAGTATCACTGTAGTTGGGAATTGTTACCTCATAATAATTTTCATTTCGAGTTATTTCCGGTCGTTCAGCAGGAAATAACTCAGCTAAATCCAGTAAAGGTTCCGCTAAATCTACAGCTATATCAACAATCCTAGCTATGTTATCATCCATTTTCTTTTTTTATTATTAAAAAAATAATTCAAAAACTGAGAATGAGAATATCTATTTTAGGTTAGGTTCAACCAAGCAAAATTTCAAATCTTAACAACAAAAACAAACCGTTCAGCTAGTTGTCAACAAGTTTAAGAATCAAAGCGCAAACAGTTGTGAACATGTTTGCATCTGGTGTGATCTGGTGAACGCAGCCATTAACTAAAACTAAGATGACAAATGACAAACACAGTTCACAGACCACAGGACAAATACCATCACAATTCAGTGTTCTATTTCTATGAAATATAGTTTAAAAGTATACATTAAGGACATTCTAACCTTACTTTATTGATGCATGCATTTTATTGCTATTTTTATAAAACAACACGATTTATTATTTATACAACCTTGTAAACTTGTAGTAACTATTAGAATACTTAGATATTGCAAAAAGCGGAAAGATTCTGTAAAAAAATTAAAAAATAAGGAAAAATACAAATTATTCACACTAAACAACGTTCTTCTTCTTTTTTTCTTTTATGGAAATTATTCACACTAAACAAAAACAACGTTTGTTTGGAAAGTGAAACTGACAGATGTCAATCAAATCTACGTCATCACTCCTGCGGTCCATATTTTTGTCTCCACTACCTTTACATTCCCTCTTTTGTCTTTTTGCTCGATGGGTAGGATACAGGAATTAAACAGTTTGGTTCGCAGTCTTTGAGGTATATTTTTATTTTTAAGTACGTATGAGAGTCTTCCGAATGCTGTCCATCCCATTTTTACATGTCTGCTTATTTCGGTAGTCTGATTTACGTTACTTACCTTGACATTTCGACCCATATATGATCATCTACGCGTTCTATCTCTGTCCCTTCAATGTTTATCATAGGTTTGTCATCTTTGTTTGACATTAGTTTAGTTTTGCTGAAATTCATTTTCATTCCTTTTTTTAGGGATTCTGTGTGAGCCTCCTCAATCATCGTATTCAGTGCATTCCACGTGTCGGCTATTAATACTACATCATCCGCGTATCTAAGATTGTTCAAGTATCTTCCGTTAATAGGGATTCCCTTATTTTCCCAGTCTATTGACTTGATATCTTCTAGGGCAGCTGTAATAATTTTTGTAATATATGTGGTGCCACTGTTAGGCAACCAACATGACAGCAGCCTCGTGGGGACTTGACCTGTCATGTTAGGGCAGTCAACATGTGGGTGTCAGATTATAAAGTATCACAATAAAAGACCTGGAATAAAACATTCGTATTTATTCATCCTTATACCCTGGCAGGTTTACCAGGATATTACATGGTGTCAGGTGTTTATTCGGGCTAAATAGTCTACGAGTTTTACACGTTTTCTGATGATATTTTGTGACTAATATGGAGAATTTGTGTAGATCTCCTGAACCGTTGAACCTAGATGGAAATATAGCGGAAAACTGGAAAAGATTTTCACAAAAGTTTGAGTTATTCCTGACAGCCACAGGATTGCTGGATAAGCCAGAAGCACAGAAGATAGCCGTATTCTTGAACCTTGTGGGTGATGAAGGACTGGATCTTCACAATAGCTTTACATACACAGAAGAGGAAAATAAGAAACTAGAATCAATCATAAAGAAATTCGAAGATTACTGCTCGCCGACTGCTAATTTAATATTTGAACGATTTAAGTTCAATAGTGTAATGCAAACTGAAGGCCAAACATTTGACAACTTTCTCACAGAGCTGAGAAAGGCAGTAAAAACTACTAGTTACCAAGACCAAGATGAAATGGTAAGAGATAGAATAGTAATGAGCATATGGGACAAAAATACCCAAGAAAAACTATTAAGAGAACCAAAGCTAACATTAACAAAGGCTATTGAATTCTGTAGGACAGTTGAGGTCAGTAAATCACAATCCAAAGCTATTCAAAATGAACTAGGGGTTAATGCATTAAGAAGTAAGCCATCATCGTCCTCAACACCTAACTTGAACCAGAGCAGTTGCCATAGATGTGGATACAAACACAAGAAAAATGCAAATTGCCCAGCCACAGGTAAAAGTTGTGCCAAATGCCAAAAGCCAAATCACTTTGCTGCAGTATGTAAACATGATGAAAAGAAGAAAGAAAAGAATAGAAGCTGGAAACAAAAAAATGTGCACGTGGTAGAGGAAGAAGATAGTGATAGTGTATGTGATGTACATTTCCTAAGTTCAATAAATGTAATAGATTCAGTAGGTTCAACATGTAGAAAAAGTGAAAGTGTTTGGAAGCAAAAGATAAACATAGGACGCAGTCATGTAGAATTTAAACTAGATACAGGTGCTGAAGTAAGTGTTTTGCCATATTATGTTTTAAAAAACCTGAAATTAGAAAATAAACTAAAGAGAACATCAGTAACCCTGTTATCTTATGGTAGTCCAGATTTCAAAATTAAACCTTGTGGAGAGATTAAGTTATTATGCAAAGCTAATAAGTGTGAAAGTATGATTAAATTTATTGTTGTTGATTTAGATAATCAAATACCCTTATTAGGGCTACAAGGGTGTTTAGAATTAAAATTAATAGAACGGTTAGCTCATGTAGGACAGGGTGTGGATGTTGTTTTTAGTTCATTAGATAACGTAAAAAAGCAGTATAATTCAGTTTTTGATGGTTTAGGAGAATTTCCTACTGAGTACCACATAACCTTAAAAAGCAATACTAAACCGTATGTTCAGCCCCCCAGGAGGGTACCTATATCACTTCATGATAGACTCAGACATAAATTAAAACAACTTGAAGATCAAGGTGTCATTGAAAAAATAGAAAAACCAACTGAGTGGCTGAACCCATTAGTAATAGTTGAAAAGAAAAATGGCGATTTAAGGTTGTGTCTGGATCCTCAACGTTTAAATAATGCGATACAACGAGAACACTTTTTAATACCTACAGCGGAAGAAATTGCAGTCAAGTTGTGTGACAAAGAATACTTCACTGTCTTAGATATGAAAGATGGCTATTTTCAAGTCAGGTTAGATGGTCAAAGTGCTGATTACACTGCTTTTGGAACCCTATTTGGGCGGTACCGATTTCTTAGATTGCCCTTTGGGATTTGCTCAGCACCAGAAGTTTTTCAGAGGAAAAACTTTGAAATATTTGGAGATTTAGACGGAGTGGGACTATACTTCGATGATCTTATTGTGACAGGCTCAAATGAACAAGAGCATGATCAGAACCTAAAATTGGTCCTAGAACGAGCACTAGAATACAATATTAAATTTAATAGCTCTAAAGTTCAATTTAAACTAAAATCAGTAAAGTTTTTGGGACAAATTTATTCAAAAAGTGGAGTTGAATCCAACAAAAACTATGTTAGAGCAATTTCAGAATTGCCTAGGCCTAGTGATAAAAAAGGATTATTGAGAATTTTAGGCATGGCGAAGTACTTGAGTAAGTTTGTGCCCAACATGTCAAAGGTAACAGCCCCATTACGTGATCTCACAAGGCTTGATGTTACATGGGAATGGGATAACATCCATGAACAGTCTCTGTTCCAACTTAAACACTTATTGACGACATCACCAGTACTGAGATATTTTAACTCTAAAAAAGAAATTGAAATTGAAACTGATGCTTCAAAGGATGGACTGGGTGCATGTTTGTTGCAAGATGGGCATCCAGTGGCATTTGCATCTAGAAGCTTATCTAAAACAGAGCAAAAATATGCCCAAATTGAAAAAGAAATGCTAGCGATTGTCTTTGCCATTCAAAAATTTCATTATTTTGTATACGGACAGAAGGTCAAAGTTCACTCTGATCACAAACCACTAGAAGTCATATTTAAAAAGGATTTAGCACGGATATCTCCAAGATTACAAAGAATGCGTTTAAGATTGCTTGACTATGATTTAATGGTCTCATACAGACCTGGAAAATATTTATATATTGCGGACACACTTTCTCGTGCATTCCTCTCAGAAAAAGGATTCAAAAGTGACAATGAATTTGAATATGCGGTGCATGCAGTAGTCAAAAATATACCCATGTCTGAAGAAAGGAAAGTACAGTTTGCAAATGAGACACAGAAAGATGAACATCTAAAAGCAGTAATTGAGTTCTGCATTAATGGATGGCCAGAGAGCAAACAGGAAGTACCAGAGTCGATACGACATTATTTCAAAGTGAAAGAGAGCCTTATCTCTATAGATGGACTATTATTGATGTCTGATAAGGTCATAGTGCCCCAGTCACTGCGTTTAGAAATGTTGAAATTGCTGCATGAGGGTCACATTGGCATTGAAAAAAGCAAAGCTCGTGCGAGACAGATATTATATTGGCCAGGTATTAATTCTGACATTGAACATCACATCAATGCATGCAGAACATGTGAGTCGAATGCACACAAGCAACAGAAGGAAACTCTGCAACTGTACCCAATTGCTGAGCGCCCTTGGGAACGCCTAGGCCTAGATATTTTTACATATGCTGGAAATAGCTACCTAGTTATATTTGATTCATTTTCAAATTGGTTGGACCTGCATTTGATAAAGAATAAATCTTCCAAAGCTGTTATTGGGGTATTAAGAAGAGTGTTCTCTGTGTTTGGTTCACCAGATTGTATAACATGTGATAATATACCATTTGATAGTTTGTATTGTAAAAATTTTGCGAGAGAATGGAATTTCAAAATCATCACTAGAAGCCCGAATTATCCACGCTCCAATGGCCTCGCTGAGAAAGGAGTAGGAATAGCAAAAAATATAATTAAGAAATCAGTAAAAGAAGGTGATATTGAAATCTCATTGCTGCAATACCGTAATACACCTCTCAAGCATATTGGTTACTCCCCGTCTCAATTGTTAATGAGCCGGATTTGTAAAACTAAAATACCTATTAGTTCAGAGTTATTGCAACCTAAGTTATGTGAAAATGTGCTTGAGAAGCTGCAACATAGGCGCAATACATATAATAAGTATTATAATAGAAGTGCCAAAGAATTACCACCGTTAACAAATAATACTGATGTTACAGTATACAATCATGTTCAGAAGAAGTGGGAACCAGGTCAAATAGTTAGCCAACATGGGACACC